TGTCTCCTTTCTTTTGTGAAAAGATGTTTAAGAAAACTGACTGTGATCATTCGAATGCCGATAAACATTTGTCATGGACACCTTGTTCTTGTCTTCACTTCGGATTATTACAATACTTGTCCGTGTCGAGGAAGAGATAAGCTTTCAGCTTAAATTATTTTCGCTTTTCCCCTGTAGCCATGCGTTTGGAGGGCAATGATGGCGTTGTTAAGGAGCAAATTGCCCTCAGTATCTCAATTTCTGAGCCTTCCTCAAACTTCTCGCGGTTCTGGGAGGGCGGTAATGAACGCGACACCGCCGACGAGAAGAGCATTATCGAGTTCCTTCTCAACCCTCCCAATGTTCTCCGAGCGCTTCCTGACAGTCCAAGCTTGAATCATCATAAAAGTCAGTCGCAGCAGCGGCAACAACTAATGCAACTATTGACAGGTCTGCGAGCTTATGCTAAGGTGATTCCTCCTTTACCAAAATTCAGTCCTTTTTCCGTTTCTTCGCCAAAAAATCGCTTGTCCAGGCCGCCAACCCATCATGATTGTGGCTGCTCATACTCAATCACTCCTCTGTATTAAGATGGATTGTTTTTGTAATCCCTGTTCACAGATAGAAGGGCTATCTGGTGTGTTAAAAATTTATTCATTTATCATGCCTTTTCAACAGAAAATGTTTCCACGAGCAGACATTTCCTCGCCGCAATCCTCCTCTGAATGCCAACATCAGCAACCGAACGTGGGCTTCGGTTCTGAAGTCATTTTCGCTAGTTGTCGGTCTCCACTTTGTGTGAGGGTGGGTGGAGAAACCACTTCATCACCGTCACCACAGCCTAAATCTTTCTTCGCTGATCCTGACGTCTCTTTTGAGGAGTCTGCGGAAGGCCTCGGCTTTAAGGGCGCTGTGAGTGTTGGATATCACAGCTCATATCTGTTGGCAACGATCAGGCACTTTCTTTATAAGAGCAATGGGTGTTTGCACCATATTGGAAGTAGGTTTTTTCATGAAACATGGGGGACTCCGTAGTACTTTTTGCAATTCTGGTAACGTTGCTTT